GGTCACATGCTCAAGATGTTTAAAGACTGAAAAGTCATAAGATAAAGAGATGCTTACAATATTTAAATTTCGATTTTTCAAAAATTCACTTTAAAATATGCTTGTTATATTCCTATCCCATTTACTTATTTGATTGTGTTTTGCCTAAATTTTATGTAAACGTTTTTGAAATTAATAAAGAACGATGTTTAAATTAAATTACTTCATCATCTTAAGAATATAATTCCTTAAATTAAGATAGATTCAAATCTAAATATTACATTCGTAAACCTTAAATTAAGATAGATTCAAATCTAAATATTACATTCGTAAAGTATATAATTCCCTAAATTCTATATCATTCTATGACCAGATTTTTGTGATTTCGGTTGAACTTGGTTTTTACTCTTAGTAATTGTGCCAACATCCTCGGCAAGCTCATATGTGGTAAATATAACTGGACATTAACGATCCTTGTTTCTTTCACATTGGCTATAAATCCGGCCACATTCACAATTATACATCTACTTGCCGGGTCAATTTTTTTAATTTTTATTGTGTTCTATCCATCGAGGCATCAATTCTTTCCAGAAAAGATATACATCACCATCATTTTTATTTTATTGATCTTCTAATCGTTATCGTCATCACGAATAAAGACATCTACTTCAAAAGTTCAAAGAGACACCGTCATTAACAACGTGGGTGTACGTACGTAAGCCATCGTCCGTACCATCATAATCACACATACGATCACTCTTAATCTAGGAAGTTTCTTCTTTGTCAAACATCATCATGTGGTTTGATTTCTTTAAAAGAAAAGTAATAAAAATAAATCGACGAAGCAAAGTTCGAAAAATAAAATACCGAAAAAGTCTATAAGATTAGGACGTTTCTTCTTGGATTACAATAGAAATTTAATGGTCAATCAATATTGAGAGATTGGTTTTGCAATCTTTTTGGAGTTCATTTTTGCCGGCTTCTCAAAGTTTAATTACGAATTTACATTAAAAATTTTATACTGTATGACAATTTTATCCTAAATCCATCAGAAGAGAGGAGCAACGTATTCAATAATACACGAAACGATAGAAACTCTGCATTACAGATTGCGTAACACCATAATTTACGTTCCTAAAGTCAATCAATCTGAGCCCAAACGAAAAAACAAGGAATAAATTCTACATTGACATTTTTTTTTAAAGCAACAAATTTGTGTGTTGGGTTTTACATATACAACCGGTACTTTCACCTAATAGATAAACACACTTTACCTTTCGATAATTCAAGTGTACAACCACAAAATATATTATATATATGAGGATTCTAAGTGGCCGTATAGGATCCATAAATCCAAAAAGATTGGAAGAAAAAAAGTAAGAGTAACGCTGTGAAAATCTGATGGGTTATAGAGAACGTTTTTGAAGTTGTTGCAATAGAAGCATGCGACAAGAATAGAGACATGCACTTGAGCTCTACGGAAAAGGAAGTAGGCGAGCCATACGCATCTGGATGATAAATGATTTCGCCTTGACGACATTTGAATTCTCCTAAACTCCATTCCTAGTTTCATAGATTGATTTAAAAGATTATATCATATAACAAGCTTTTAATTAACGCGACATTTACATAATGTGTAAGTGTTCATCATAAATACCTCAAGCTGGCGACCAAAAGTGACAAGGATGGTGTCGGGATCGGCGTGGAAAGAAAGTGGTCCTTTCCCTGAGTTGACACGGAATTCGCAGTTCTTAGCCGGAAGGTGAAGGCTGAGTGTATAATGAAGCATTTCTTCGGTCTTTTCTTTTGGCAAAGGAGGGCTTTGCTCTGTTACGTTTTCATGATTGTACCTGTAAACTCTAAGCACAGATTCTCCTCTTTGTATCCTTTTATCAGTCTGTCTCCTTGAGTTTTCTACCATTATTTGCCCTAGTTTCCTCGCTATTTCCTCGAGTTTATCCGCTACATTCTCCATTTCTTGGCTGCAATAAATCGATTAACAAAAAATCCAAAGTTTCTAAAACATCACTCCACCATTTATTTATCATTCATAACATTCACCAAGTTTTTTCATAAGTGATTTCACTGT